TGTTTTTGAGAGAGAGAGTGTGAGCAGGGGGAGCACAGAGAGAGAAGGGGACAGAACATCTGAAGCGGGCTCCGCACTGACAGCAGAGAGCAAACCATGAGATCATGACCTGAGCCAAAGTCAGCCACTTAACTGACTGAGCCACTAAGCACCCCTAGAACTGACTTCTTCAATTCCATTGGTTATCAGGGCCCCATTGACATTGGAGTCAAACAACGTTGCCTAAGAAGTCGTATATTTAAGTTGTACAAGTACCTTAAGCTTGCTCTTTTGCCTGTGATATCAGAAGAGACAGAAAATAGGGGAACTTGCACATCTGACAATGCAGGAGTAAATGAAAACAGGCGTCCATGAGTAAGCATGATCTACATAATAAACAAACGAATAATTGGGTAAGGGAGTGAATGAATAAACCTGCCCTTCAGAAAACCCTTTCCAAGAATAGAACATGTTTCTTTTTAAGTTTTTCCTTCTTTTCCTAATTGAGAATAATCTGCTTGCCTGATCTGATCTGCTCAAGTCCTGGTCATATCAATTTGCATTTAAATTATTTACTCAATACCATGTCTCACAGGTCCTGAGTCAAATGCCAAGGAGAGGAATTGTGCTCTCAGCTGGATTTAATGTAGGAGTGAAGGAGTCTTTCTTCTTGATTACTTCCTAGGAGTCCCTGCATGCCCTAGCACTCTTAGCTTTAGACATGGATGCCCCTAATCTACATGCTTAGAGTCACCCTGTTCTTTTTAAAAAAAAATTTTTTTTTTCAACGTTTATTTATTTTTGGGACAGAGAGAGACAGAGCATGAACGGGGGAGGGGCAGAGAGAGAAGGAGACACAGAATCAGAAACTAGAGTCACCCTGTTCTTGAACTGAGGCAGGAGACTAGCCCTACCAACTGGTGGGGCCTGAACAGTCTCATCATTTGTTGTGAGTCTCAGGGGTTTATTAGCAACCCAAGTGTCCACTATGCTACTGCATACTCCAGTGTACCGTGTTTATCCATCTGCACTTGACCTCATCCTGCTTGCCCAGAGTTCTGCCTTGAATTCTAGTCCATTTGGCCAGAGCCCCAACTCTTTATTTAGATCCTAGCAGCACTTTTCCATTTTTCCTCTGTATGTCCAAACTCAGGCTGGGCAGGGATTTGAATAAACAGAACTTTAAAAGTTATGATTCTGTCCCTTCCTGACTTTAAGTGGTAGCAATACCTGGAAACAGTTCCCATCCTACAGAGTGACCTCCCTTAAGTATCAACATGGAAGTGAGCCAACAGTCTTAAAATGATATCCCTGTTTATCAAGGCAGATAGGGCAGAGTGGAGCTAATATCAGTCTGGTGGACAGGGCATGGCAGCAGACAGTGACATTCAAAGGCAGGTAGTTGCCATCAGTAGCAGTGGTTTAGTTTGAGACCATGGTGGCTGAGTCTCAACTCTTGGGAAAAGTAAGGTAGCCCTTACCCAATTGGACTAGGGTTCAAGGGAGGTCTCCAGTTCCCATAGGCTACCAGCTTGCCAAACAGGGAAACTCAAATAGGTGCCTGCTTCCACAGACTAGTTCAACACAGAGTAGGGGAGAAGAGGGCAGAGGTTTTCAGACTGTGGGTCTCAATGAACTAATGATTTACAATAAACTTAAAGCATTTTTGTGATGAAATGAAATTAATAGAACAGAAAGTATCAAGGTATACTGAATGTAGTAAAGAGAAATATGTTTTATGAAACTTTTGCTTCAGTCACATAGCTTGTTATGTGCACTGTCTCTGAGATATGTGAAAAACAAGGGGGGGGAGGAATAGAGAAGGAGATTTATTTTCATTCTCAGTTTGAAGTTTTTTTAACCATATGGGAAACATAACATGTAAGCAATAGAAAAATATGTGCAATAAATATAATGGACAAAACTCAATACTCAAGTCCTACAAGAAAACCACAACTGCATAAAGATAGATATGTTACTTATTATAGCAGTGTTTGTGATAGCACTGAATTGTAAATGATTTAAATGTCTACTAATAAAAAGCTAAAAATAAACTATGGTTCATACTCCTTTGGACAATTATACAGTTGTTAAAAAGAATGAGGAAGACCTATCAATACCAACATGAAAAGATACCTAAGATATATCACTCAATGAGAACATAAGTTCCAGAATGATACATGTGTTATGACATTAATGTCATTTGTATAAATGACATTTATCTACTCAAATATTTATTGAGCACCTACTAAGTGCTGGATGCTATTTTATTCAACGTTTTTATTTATTTTTGGGACAGAGAGAGACAGAGCATGAACGGGCGAGGGGCAGAGAGAGAGGGAGACACAGAATCGGAAACAGGCTCCAGGCTCCGAGCCATCAGCCCAGAGCCTGACGCGGGGCACGAACCCACGGACCGCGAGATCGTGACCTGGCTGAAGTCGGACGCTTAACCGACTGCACCACGCAGGCGCCCCTAGATGCTATTTTAAATAGTGGGCAAATCTCCTAACTGTGAATGGTGGAGACTGAAAATAAAGTAAATTTTCTAGTATAGAAGTGAACGTACAAAGGATAAAAATATATCAGGGGAGAACGGGGTCCTGAGAGATGAAGTTTTCAATTTTAAGTAGAATAATAGGGAAGACCTGCCACAGAAGGTGGCATTTGAGTAGATTTGAGAGAGGAGAGGGAGCATACCATGTGGATACTAGGAGAAGAGCTTTCCAGGCAGAGAGAACAGTGAATCAATGTCTCCATGCCTGGGTTGTTCAAGGAACAGCAGAGGCCAGTGTGTCTGGAACAGAATAAGTATTGTTTTTATAAGTTGAAAAATATATACACATCAGTAATAAATACTTAGACTCCATGGGCAGGTGGACTATGACTAGTTCACATGAGAAAAAATATAACCTCAAAGCAACATTTCAGAATATTTATGTAGCTTCTCTAATGCAAAAATCAAGTATTCAAATTAGAAGAATTTCCCATGTTTCCTTGTCACACACCTGTCAAACAGTATTGGAATTGCACGTGTCTCCAACTAATCTGTGAGCTTTGTGAGTGTAGAAACTGTCTGTGTCTGGGGCATTAGTTTTATCTCTGGAGTCTAGCACTGTTCCTGACATTCTTGAATACTCATAATGGCCTGCTGTTAAATGGTGCTTACCAAACACCAGAAATGGTTCTAAGGATTTAACTTATTTAATCTTCACAAATGGTTTTGAGGTAGGTGCCATCATTGTTGCCATTTTAAACACAGACTACTAAGGCACAAAGAATGAGAGTAACTTTCTGAAAGTCCTATGTCAGAGCAAGAATTTGAACCCAGGCAGCCTGGTGTCAAAGTCGAGTTAAACCATTATAATAGGGGCGCCTGGGTGGCGCAGTCGGTTAAGCGTCCGACTTCAGCCAGGTCACGATCTCGCGGTCCGTGAGTTCGAGCCCCGCGTCAGGCTCTGGGCTGATGGCTCAGAGCCTGGAGCCTGTTTCTGATTCTGTGTCTCCCTCTCTCTCTGCCCCTCCCCCGTTCATGCTCTGTCTCTCTCTGTCCCAAAAATAAATAAAAAAACGTTGAAAAAAAAATTAAAAAAAAAAAAACCATTATAATAAGTAAGTAAGTAAGTAAGTAAGTAAGTAAATGAAATAAAGTTATAATAAATAAATAAAACCATTTTGATAAATACATTCAATAAATTCCTTAGGTATGAAATAAAACAATACTTATTAGATTGAGATGAAAGGAATAAAACCCCTTGCTGGAGAGTCTTATGGGAAAACAGGTATATACTGGTCCATTCTGCAGAACACAATGACTTAGAATCTTTCTGTGCAGCAGTCTATACAGGCAAAAGTATTAAAACTCTGTCCCTTTCATGTGCAACTGCTTCTTTTAGTAACGCATAAAGAAATAATTTAAAACAAAAAATGTTTGTGAATAATGAGTGATATTTATATCTGCACCATTTATACTAGGGAAACTGGGCATAACCCAAATACCCTGACTCAAGGGCTCGTTTTGCAAAATATAAGGTAAAAACAATGTAAGCATAGAACTATTACAATACTAACTTTGTGATCTATTTTTATACCTAAATGTGCAGCTGGAATAAAGCTAAGTGGAAAAAGAACCAAGCTAATGTGTACATAAGTATTAAAACTATATACTTTTGCAAAGCTAATTAACAATGGAGATTTATGTAAATAGCTGTGTTAATAAAATAAACTCTTTGTTTTTTTTTCCATAAAATTTTTTCTTAATGTGTAATAAAAGAAGAGTGAAATATGTCATCCCTTAATAAGGCTGAATTCATGAGGCAAGGTCTATAAAAGGCCATTTTTTTCTAAGAACTAATTTTGTAATATTGGTAGCTACCAATATGTGCACATCCGAGCCTGGGATTAGGATGGTTGAGTGGCTCTTTCAACCCTGCTTCTAGGTATAGAGAAGTGAATTCAATCTTTAAATCAGAATTTCTAAGGAAATAACCCAAGCATCTGTGTTTTGAGAGGAAACTCTAAAGAAATTCTGATGAATGGCAATGCTTGAGAATAATTGCAATGACACTTCAACAAATATGTATATATTCTTAGAACTAATGTGCCTGTTCTTCCATGGCTCCTTTAATAAAGTATTTTAACCTATTTTAGCTAATTTGATAAGTAGGAAGTATTATTCCCAGTTGATATATTTTATTGAGCATATTCATTAAAAGGCATTATTAAGGTGCATACTTTTTAAAACAGAAAAATGCTAGCAACAGACTAGAAACCATCTAAATATCCATCATTTTCAGACTGGTCAATAAATAATTGTATTTCCACACAATGGAAAACTATGCTGCTGTTTAAAAAAAAAAATGAAGCAGAACTCTATGTACAAATAGGAAATTTCTCAGAGATACATTGTTAAAGATAAATGTGACCTTACAGAACAGTGTGTTCATTGTGTTGCAATTATGTCCCCCCCCCCCCCCACCTCCCCAATCTTGTATATTCATAGATTATCCCTGGAAGGAGACCTCAGAAACTGGTAACAATAGTTGCCTCTGGCTCCCAGACTTGGTTGATTAAGGTTACAGTGATTAGGTAAAAGGGTAGATTGACTTTTAATTATACACTCTTGCATGTATTAATTCTTAAATAATAAAACATGAACAATTAGGTACAAATGGAATCCCAATCTACCTAGATTTCATCCATTATTAATTATTACCAAATTATCTGGGATGTCAACCCAGATTTAAGTTTGACATTCACTACAAATCTTTTGCAGGCCTCATTCACTTTACTGCTTGGGTTTCCAGGGCTGTTGGTCTTTCCTCCAGTGTTCAGCTCTTAATTGGTTGTTTGTCCTATTTTCTCTATGGGAATGTATCTATTCCTGTATCTTGAAGCATTCTCATTTCAGCTACCTGGGGCTTCCTGGTGTTGTAATCAGGAAGAGAAAGAGGCCTTTGTTCTTTTCCCACTGACCTAAAGAGGTCAGAGAGACACTCACCAAAGCAAATAAACACACCCCAGAGTCCCAGAGCACTCAGCACCATCTTTTCTTATGGGAATTTGTTCAGAATTCTTAGAGATTTGTTTTAGCAACCAGGATTTCTTCTAGCAAGCTTCATGAATCCTAGCAGGTACCACACTTGTGTGCAATGGAACTTCTTTATTGAGCAGTGAAGCATTGAGAATTTGCAATGAATTTGCTGTTAAAGACTCCCTGAGAAAGATTTTAAGAGGGCATTTAAAACACAATTTGAACATAACGTATTTATAAAAAATAGTGGTATATCCAAATGCATAGATTACAACAACCAGAATGAACCCTAATGTAAACTATAGACTCTGGGTGATTATCATGGGTCAATGTGGTTTCCCCAATTATAACAAATGCACTGCTCTGATGTGGGATGTTGATAAAGGCAGGACTATGCATGTGTGGAGGTAGGGAGTGTATGGAAAATTTCTAGATCTTCCTCTCAGTTTTGGTGTGAACCTAAACTGCTTTATAAAAAATAAAATCTTTTAAAAAGAAAGATGGAATCTAGTTAATAAGTTGAGGAACAAAGCTACAGAATTTTTGGTTTTAATACACTATAGAAAAGCTTGAAAAAATAGTGGTATATTGGATTGCCTATATGTAACTCTGTACATAAGTACATAATGTACATAAGCATTTAAATGCATAGTTTTTTTATAATTTCCCTTCTTTGAGACAACATCTCACAGCCTCAGATCATCATGGGATCATCACAACCATAAGGAAACTGTTTTCTTTTCCCATGTAGGATGAAAATCGCTACCACACTATTCATAGCATGTGGTTCTCTGCAACTTCTAGAAAGGTACTTTCTCCCAAGGCAACACTTTCCATTTCTTAATGGTCCTCGTGTTAGAAATTATCTTTTTGTTTTTGTTTTATTTTTTAATGTTAAGTAATGTTCTGTCTTCTGCAATTTCTGTCCTCAGATTCTTATTTCCCTTCTATATAGGGAAAACATGGTATGATCTTTACAGGAAACAGTACATTCCAAATGCGTAACTAAAGAAAGTCTGATAAAATGACTACTTACAAAGATCAAGAACAAGACAAGGATGTCTGTTCTGTATTCAGCATTGTACTGGAGTTCCTACCCAGTGCAATAAAACAAGAAAAAGAAGTAAAAGGCTTTTGGATTGGAAAGGTGGAAATAGAAATCTTATTTCTTTTTTTAATGTTATTTATTTATTTTTAAGGAGGGGGACAGAGAGAGAGAGAGAGAAGGGAGAGAATCCCAATCAGGCTCCACACTATCAATGCAGAGCCTGACGTGGGGCTCGAACCCACACACCATGAGATTGTGGACTGAGCCAAAATCAAGAGTCAGACACTTAACCAACTGAGCCACCCAGGTGCCCCTAGAAATCTTATTTTATAGTGAGGGCGTGCAGGGGTGCCTGGGTGGCTCAGTCAGTTAGACATCTGACTTTGGCTCAGGTCACATGATCTTATGATTTGCGGGTTTAAGCCCCATGTCGGGCTCTGTACTGACAGCTCAGGGCCTGAAGCCTGCTCCAGATTCTGTGTCTCCTCTCTCTCTCTGCCCCTTCCCAATTCATGCTCTCTCTCTCTCTCTCTCTCTCTCTCTCTCTCTCAAAAATAAACATTAAATTAAATATTATAGTGAGGGTGTGCCGATGATGAAATCTTCCAACTTACAGCTTTTGGATGTCTGAAAAGTTCTTTATTCCACTTCTACTTTTGTTTTCAAACAGCAACCCTCAGTTTGTTCTCTACAGTTAAGAGTCTGTTTTATGGTTTCTCTCCTTCTTTTTTCCTCCATATGTTCATTTGCTTTGTTTCTTAAATTCCGCATATGAGTGAGAAATCATATGGTACCTGTCTTTCTCTGACTTATTTTGCTTAGTGTAATAACTCTCTGGTTCCATCCATGTTGTTGCAAATGGCAAGATTTCTTTATTTTTTATGGCTAATATTCCAGTGTACATACATACCAAATCTTCTTTATCCATTTCTCAGTCCATAGCCATTTGGGCTCTTTCCATAATTTGGCTATTGTTGATAGTGCTGCTATAAACATCCGGGGGGGGTGGGGGGTGTGCCTGACCCCTTTGAATCAGTGGCTGCAGTGGTTTGCATTCCCACCAACAGTGTTAAGTCCACCTTTGTTTTTAAAAGATACTTTCTCTTATATAGAATTCTAGGTTGACAGTTATTTTTTTCCCTTTCAGTACCTTAAAGATGTTATTACACTTGTATCGTTTTCAACAAGAAATGTGGAATCTTCATCTTTGTTTCTGTATGACATGTCTGATGTCTTTTCAGTTTTTCTCTTTATCACTGGTTTTGAACAATTTACTATGTGTCTTCACGTGTCTGGTATTTAGGACTTGCCAAGCTTTTTGGACCAGTGGGTTCACAGTTTTCATCAAATTTGAGACGATTTTGGCCATTATTTCTTCAAATATTTTTCTGTCTGCCCCACTTCTCTCTGTCAGGATGTCCAATTAGTATTAAATCGTCTCACAGCTCACTGATACTCCATCATATTTTTTTTAGTTCTCTTTTCTCTCTTTGTTCAATTTTGGGTAGCTGCTATTGCTAGGTCTTCAAATTCATTAATCTTTTCTTCTGTAATATCTAATCAGCTGTTAATCATATCCATTGTATTTTTCATTTCACATATTATACTTTTGATCTTTAAAAGTTTGATATGATCTTTTTTAAATATACAACTTCCATATCTGTACTTAAATTTTTGAACCTATGGAATACCATTTTAATACCTCTATACAATAATTATAAAATCCATGTACTGGGTTGGTTTTGATTTATTTATCTTTTGACAATGGGTTATGATATCCTGCCTTTTTGCATGCCTGGTAATTTTTATTTTATTTTATTTTTAATTTTATTTTTTTAATTTATATCCAAATTAGTTAGCCTATAGTGCAACAATGATTTCAGGAGTAGATTCCTTAATGCCCCTTACCCATTTAGCCCTCCCACAACCCCTCCAGTAACCCTCTGTTCTCCATATTTAAGAGTCTCTTATGTTTTGTCCCCCTCCCTGTTTTTATATTATTTTTGCTTTCCTTCTCTTGTGTTCATCTGTTCTGTGTCTTAAAGTCCTCATATGAGTGAAGTCAGATGATATTTGTCTTTCTCTGACTGACTAATTTCACTCAGCATAATACCCTCTAGTTCCATCTACACAGTTGCAAATGACAAGATTTCATTCTTTTTGATTGCCGAGTAATACTCCATTGTGTGTGTGTGTGTGTGTATATATATATATATATATATATATATATATATATATATATATACCACATCTTCTTTGTCCATTCATCCATCGGTGGACATCTTGGCTCTTTCCATACTTTGGCTATTGTTGATAGTGCTGCTATAATATGGGGGTGCATGTGTCCCTTTGAAACAGCACACCTGTATCCCTTGGATAAATGCCTAGTAGTGCAATTGCTGGGTTGTAGAGTAGTTCCATTTTTAGTTTTTTGAGGAACCTCCATACTGTTTTCCAGAGTGGCTGCACCAGTTTGCATTCCCATCAGCAGTGCAAAAGAGATCCTCTCTCTCTGCATCCTCGCCAACATCTGTTGATACCTGTGTTGTTATGCCTGGTAATTTTTATTGGATTCCAGAAATGGAGAATAATAATGATATGAGAACATACTACACACACACACACACACACACCTATGCAAATTCTCAATGCAATGGGAAACATTCTCTAATTATTAGTCTTTATCAGCCCATTCTCTAGGATACTAGAACATTCTATAATTTAATACTCTTTTCTGCTTTATATATGTTGAGTTTTTAAACAATACAGTATTACTGGTGGTTTCTTTTTTCCAATTGTGTTGAAAGAACTGAGTTATGGTTGATGGAATCCAATGCTGCTTTTTTTTTTTTATGCCTCTTTTTTAAATCAATAAAGGGTAGTGGGTGGAATGGGATTCCAGATTCTCTTCTGTTTGTTGATTGATGAATGACCTGGGTAAGACCAAATGTTTATCCTTTAATAAAATCTGCCTGTTCTTTTTATTGACTCTTAAATGATTTCACATAATTTTTTAAATGCTATTTTTAAAGTTTATTTATTTTGTGAGAGAGAGAGAAAGCACAAGTCGGGGAGGGGCACAGAGAGAGGGAGAGAGAAAGAATCCCAAGCAGGCTCCACACTGTCAATGTGGAGCCTTATGTGGGGCTGGAACCCACAAACCGTGAGATCATGACTTGAGCTGAAGTCAGACACTTGACTGACCAAGCCACCCAGGCACCCCACACACATGTCTTGAAATATTTACTTTCTTATAGAAGCAGGTTGACAACTGATGTTTTCATTCTTCCGTATGGTCACCTGAAATTAGTGAAGAACTTAAAGGACAGTTTCCAATGGATTTAACCTTTCAGCTCTTCAGTTCCTTATGGGTAAAGAGAATAAATAATGAATATTATTTATATATAACATAGTATATAAATAATATAATAATTAATAAATAATAATGAATAAAACTCATCACAAAAATGATGTGAGGATTAAATGAGATAATGCGTGAGAATCTGCCTAGAAAATGCTTGGCATATAGAAAGTCCACCATGGGGGTGCCTGGGTGGCGCAGTCGGTTAAGCGTCCGACTTCATCCAGGTCATGATCTCGCGGTCCGTGAGTTTGAGCCCCGCGTCAGGCTCTGGGCTGATGGCTCGGAGCCTGGAGCCTGTTTCTGATTCTGTGTCTCCCTCTCTCTCTGCCCCTCCCCCGTTCATGCTCTGTCTCTCTCTGTCCCCAAAATAAATAAACGTTGAAAAAAAAATTAAAAAAAAAAAAAAAAAGAAAGTCCACCATGAATGCAAGTTCCTATGAAAGTTTGTCAATGTTTTTTTATTTGTGGTATTTTTGCTATGAATTCTGCTCTAAATAAATCCAATCCAGAAGAATTTTTAGATTGTATGAGAAATATGCCTGAGAAACCTCATATATTTCTGCCTGGTATATCTTTTTTGGTATCACTCTTAGCTTTAGATATGACAGTACCTGCCATTTAGGCCACATGATCTCTGGTGAGCTGACCAGATACTAGCATAGAGCAGTGTTTCTCAAAGTGAAGTCCCCAAACGAGCACCATCAGCAACACTTGGCAATTTGTTTAAAATGAAAAATGTCAGGGACGCCTGGGTGGCGCAGTCGGTTAAGC